AAATAATATCTTCGTATCATTCCAACTGTTGACACAAGAGTACATTGTTTTCTTCTAAATGTATACATTACATATATACATTTGGCAGATGCTTTTATTTTAACTTACATTGAATTGGGAGTTGAACCCATGACCTTGGTGTTGCTCTGACTATGCTGTACAGTTTGAGCTACTGGAATGTACAATTTACTACATCCAATTGTCTCTTTCAAATACATTTTCAGTTGAAAAAATCTGCCAATTGTCTCTTTAAGGTGAAAAATCTGGCAGGTGAATTTTCAGGTGAAAAATTAGACAATTGTCTCTTTCATGTGAATTTCTAGGTGAAACAATTGCCCATTGTCTCTTACAGGTATAAACAATCTGCCAATTGTCTCTTTCAGGTAAATTTTCAGTTGAAAAATCGGCCAATTGTCTCTTACTAGTGAAGTTTTCAGGTGAAAATCTTCCAATAATTGTCTCTTTCAGGTGAAAAATCTGCCGATTGTCACTTTCAGCAGAAAATGTATTTATAGCTGAATAATAATACCAGAATATACAGTTCTGCTTGTGGATATCTATTTCGACTTGCAACTAAGCACCTTAAAAAAATCCTAGAATATCTTTGCGAGATTTGATGCCACTAACCTTTACAACTTGGGTATATCCAGTGATTAGCTCTTCAGAAACGCTCATGTTAACCTAGTACCAGACAGCAAATTGGAACTTCGATTTTGGGATCGTAGCTGCCAGTTTTGTGTGCAATGTGCATAAGAAAGTCAGTTAAAAAACTGCGGGTGTGACAAGTGAGACTAATACTGTGTTCCAGGCTTATTAAAATCGAGAAAGTTGAGGAAAACACCGTAGTATGACAGATATCAGCACTATGAGAGAAAAAACAGTCCTACAACACTCTTTTTAAACAAAAGGCAAATGCTGTGCGCGCCGCACCAATTTATCACCAGAATTTCTAGCAGCCCTAATAAAGTACGCTGTTACCTGAGGGAAAAGCTCTTAAACTGATGCTGACCTCTGTGGATGTGTTTGCAGACGTCAAGAACTTCCTTTTCCCTGCGGTAAGGAAGTGTAACTGCGAAGACACAAATTGGACTTCCTCACAGTGTTCTTCGATTGTGAGAACGCCACACACCCCTGGCACCAATTATTGCCTCGACTCATGCTCATCAACGGCTCAAGCCCGTGAGGAGGACTTTGTAAGAACAACTCTCAATACCACTCCAGAACTGATTCCCGGACACAGACATCTGCCTTCTGAAGTTCAATTTTTCCCCAAAGCTTTGTTGTGCTGAGGGTGAATAACTATCACTTTGTAACTGACGCAGAGGTGTGTTCAAAAAAATGGTTTGATCCATTCACCTTTATGTCGAGCTAAGCTCATCAAAGGTGGAGACAAAGATCAAGTAGATTTTGTAATTCTGCAGATCAAAGATCAACTTTCTAATTCTCAGGCAACTTGCCTGTGGCCTAGAGAAACAGACAGGAAACAGAAGGGCTGAATGCTTATTTTATGCCCCAAAAGAGTTATAAAAGGAAAGTTTTGGATGTTTAAAGAACGGTTTTGAGGTGCCAACATAATTTGATGCTCCTTTCAAACTCCACGATGGCCTATTCCTGAATGTAAAATAATAGTTTGAAGGCTTCCAGAGAACTTTCCATTCCATTAAATATTCAAGTTTTTTCCTCATGACCTTCACAGCAGCATGCAAGACCGTAATATTAACCATAAATCTAACTTTAAATATATACACCAATTGTTCACAACAAACAGATTTGCATACATGCATGAGAAACAAGTAAGTTTCTCTCATCTCAACGTTTTTTTTTTTTCAGTCACAGAAACAGACTGCTGGTGTTTTTTGGGTTATGGGGTGTAGAGATATGATTTTGGGATGATGAAGCGTAGAGAGGTAACCACGAACCATAGAAGTATTTGACAGATGGCAGCAGACTCCACTTCCACACCCACATCTGTTATTTCCATCATAATATTTGTCACCTCAATTCCACAAAAACCCTCAATGGGTTAGGAAAAGCACACGCTACAAGACCGAAGCTTGACAACCTGCTCACGTGCAGAGATTCATCATTTCTTGTCTGCAATGTTATTGCCGATATGGTCCTTACTTAAAACAGTTCAGGCGAAATTAAAATTCTTTCTTTTTGTTCCAAACCTCTACACAGCTATTTTTCACTATATATACTGTATATATGTGATGTATATATATATATATATATTGGAGATACTCAAACTGGGTTACTGCTTCGCCTAGAGAAAGTCTGAACTTCAGAGAGAGATTATTCAGGGTGGTATATCTCAAACAACTGTCATCAGCTATAGAAAGAGACTTTTTCAAACCTCATTGCTAGCCGAAACCTACTAGAATATGTTGTAAAGATTGTATAGCGAATGTAAGAATGACTCACCCCCTTCTACACAACACATACTGTATTTACACAGAGTCTCTCTCATACTGTCAGGATAAATGCTCCCATGGCCTCTGTTTGCCTTTGAACTAGAAATAGAGCAATCTACGAAATAAGGGATATTGGACATATATAGTTGGGTGGCCTGATCACATACATTCTACTCAGTAGTTCTGTTCCCTAAAGTGAGCTCCCTACCTACAGCAATATAAGGCTTTAAAGTCACGCTCGCAGCACACACACACACACACACACATATATATATATATATATATATATATATATATATATATATATATATATATATATATATATATATATATATATATATATTATATTCTCAAAATGAACTGAAGAATACCAGGGGAAAAATATTGAAGAGTTTTCACATTCACATTTACAATATGTTCAGAATGTTTATTATCTTTATTAACACGTTTCAAACCTTCCCTCTATTCTAAAGCACACTTGAAGTTTTAAAGATGTAAAAGCACAGAAGAAAAGGTCAAAAATGTACCGTCAGTTCAGACTCTGTGCTGCTATTCCATTCACTTTCACTCATTAAAGACTTTGCGGCCTGAAAGACAGAAAACCCTCAACAGGAGTGAACTTTTCATCTCTCAAGGACTAATCTTTGAATGGCACATGAGTGTATCTGCAATCTAATTCATCACTGCCTATACCTGAAAGCATCTACAGCTAAAGACTTATGATCAGGGAAGAGCACAGGTGTAGCACACTGTCTCTCTGCTGGAGGACAAGAGTGTTTAAAATTAAATGCAGAGCTGGTACACTGCTCAGCTCTATCTGAATCAGCTCTATCCCTGGTCTGTTTTCAATTTAACTTGTTCACTGTGGGTACATTTAACTTAGGAGAATATTTTAAGGGGTCACTTCATGCGTTTTGATCGATTGGATTACTAGGTGTGTACATTTACACACTTGCCCCTCTGTAAACCAGAATAAGTTGGCAAAACTCAAATAAAAATTATAATAATTTACATCAACATTGTTACATCAAAAGCAGAACTGGCAGATTTTATTTTGTACTCATGAATTTTAATTGTTCTCATTTCTAAATAAGTTAAGCAAACATTAAACTTAAAATTATCAAGTAATTTTAACTTAAGTATTTTTAGAAGTGTAACATGAACTATTGTTTTTTTACTAGCAAATTCAGTAAGTGCTATACTGTAACTTGCTATTTGGTAACACAATGCTTTGAAAGCATTAGTATAGAAATTACTGAGTTCAGCTAGTAACACATTTAACATACCTGTATTCAAACCAAGCTCATGCTCTACTGGCCACCATGATAGTAACCCTCCAAAAAAAAAAAAAAAAAAAAAAAAACATAACAGGAACTCTTCTAAATTAGCATAGCAAAACATTAAACACTACTAAATCTCCCACTTAACATTAATCTTGCACAAAAATAATTATATATTTTAGCACTTACTCTCCCTTCCGAAAGTCAAGGCAAAGCATGATGGGAAATAGAAATTTCAGTCCAGTTTCTTTTAAACTTAAGTTTGTCTAAATGAAAAGAAACAAGTTCATAAAACTCAAAACAGTGAAACAATTCCGATTACTTAAAATGTGTCATTTTTGTGAACTCAAGAGAAAAATAAAATTCGAAATATTCATAAAAGTTCATTTGATTGAACTAATTTGTTTTATTTAAGTTTACCCTACTCAAATCAATTAATTATTTTGAGCATTAGGGTTTACATAAATGGATCTGATACTATTCCCACACTACTGATCACTCAGCTTTCAGACTTCTGTATGTATGCCGATGTAAACTTTGCAAGTTTAACTTTTTTAAGTTGTATTAAATCATGTGTATGTGCATTTTTTGCCAAACTCTGCTATACAAAAAAAGTGCACTCTGAATTTTTTTTTCATAAAAATACTTATTTATAATGGATAATAACAGCCAGAGAGGGATAAATAGGTCTTCTATACTCCTTTATAGATAAACACCAGTTTAAACACATGCATTAACTTTTTAAAAGGTACAGTGTTCAAAATATATTGCAAAACAGTAATGACCCTAAGATGCATAGTATACAAATTGTCGTATACATTTGTCAGGTTACCAAAATCAAATGGCATAATTCGTTTTCTACTGCATACTAATTATTACACACTCTTAAGCAGTCTTCAATGCATGCTCTAGTTGATTAAACCACACTATGATTGAAAATGAGCTGAAATTTGAAGTAATTTCAGTTTAATTTCATAAGCACAAATCAACCCGCCTCTCTTCCCACACATAAACACAAAAACAGAGTGACAGCCTCTCTTCGGTTTTCGCTCCGTAAAATCTCAGTTGACAATCCTCCAATATTGTTACATCAAGTTAAAAAAGAAGATTAACATTACAAAGGAAAAACTGTTTAAAAAGAAACTAGAAGCAGAAAGTGAAATAGTCTAGGGAGCAAATAGAAAACAGAAAGCTTTATTAAAAAAAAAAAAAAAAAAAAAGCCCTCTGATGAATGTTAGCTAAACTGCTAGCCAGAATCACAAAGGTAGAGAAATGGGTGTTAGGATCGTAAATTCTCCCACCTAC